TAATAGGGGGGGGGGGAAATTATGACAAGTTGGAAAAGGAAAAATCAATATTTCAGTTCCATGCCCGGATGTTGCTCACAGTTTGGTCGTCACATATGCACATCAATTCGGATCATTCAGGGCGGGCGGGGGAATGGCTGTTTCGTGTGTGATGTTGGCCATGGGCGACCGAGTGTTCTTGCGAAATGCTTTGGAGAGCGATTGGAGTGTATGTAGGCGGATTCCGGTGGCTTCCACTGTGGCCTGAATGCGACTCCTAATCCTGGTAGATCGAAGGCTGCGAACTGAGTAGAGGGGTCGAAACGCCTCGGCCACGTGGTTCGGTTTCAATAACCGGATACCAAGAGCGATTTGTGGACAAGATCTTGAGGCATCATGGGTTGCCAAATAAGATCACCACTGCTGAGAAGAAACCGGTTAACATATCACTACCTTTTAAGGGCGATATAACCGCCGAGATGGGGACACGTAAACTGATTACAGTTGTAGAAAAAGCATTCCAGTCACAAAACCTCACGTTGTGTTCATCTCCAGGCCGCTTTTAGGCTTTCAACGCAAATATTAATTGCCTGTTGCTGCAGTCCCTTTCTCTGTGTTTAATCAGAAATGGAGAACGGCTTCTTTTTATTTCCTCTGTTTAGTCATTCCATATAACTGCATAGTGCTTACTCGCTAATTATTTATCAGATCAAGGTATAATCCTCGAGAAACATCGTCGGACTGCTATTCGGAATTTTAGCTGCTTCCATCCCTTGCGAATCATTTTGTTCTTATCTCGGATACAATAGTTTTACTCTCTAGCCTGTTTCTGTAACACTGCTCATGCTGTGTATAACATTAAAGCATTTTAATATACCAGATGTAGTATTAATACATTTATTTTATACTAGAAATCCGGGGTTAAAAGTTTACAAGCACCACCAGTTATGTCCAGTAAAAGCGAATCACGGGTCTGTCACTTAGTCGACCACATAAGTTTTTTCTCTGTGAATTTAATCTCTGAAGTACAAATAGATAAATAAATCAAGTCAAGTCAAGTATTTGCTTTAGGCACTCCGAAAAGTGGATATTCAGTAGTCACATAGTCAACCAACAATTATCGAACAAAATTATAACAGAATTATTGTAATCAATGAAAAAGAAAACAATTTACGAGATGAGCGAGTTAAGTTTCGAAGCGATGCTTTCTGGGTTGACAAGAAAACGGGCAAGGTAGGGTATTACAGAAGACCGATAGGCGGTCGTACGAGCAAATATACAACTATAGCGGGACCGGGTGGAAGAGGAGGACATACATTTAATAAGATCTTGATGTAGCTGATGTGAAAGGTTGTCCATAATTTTTTTTTTTTTGATAACGAAAAGCATGACTTTGTATGTTGGGAAATGATGAAGTGACAGATAGTTTCACGGGAAATCCCACTACTTCTTGATAAGTGTGTTAATGATCTGGAAAGCAATTTAAATTCCTTTTTGAGCATCACTGGACAGATTGCTGGGGACCCGTACAACCATAGGGGCAAAACAGGCGAAATGAAAGCGTTTAATCAAGAAGCGAGGGACGGATAGTGTTTTCAGTCGTAAGATAAAATGATAGTTTCCTGACCTTTCCAAATACAGAAACAACTCGGTCAGACTAGCATACGTTTCGGTTACTAAACACATCAATATACTTGACATTTGGGGGTTTGACAATAGTATCACCGTATATGTTTAACGAGGAACAGGATTTCAGGAGATTAACATAACGATTTCCTTTGTGAAGTGAGAACATCTCACCTTTGACAGCAAGAGATAAGAGTTTCACTCTTTGAAGATCTTTGCTTTTGTATGCCCTTTCCTTGCCTCGACGTAACTGCTTCAGATAGGGAGACAAGATGCGGTCACACCGAAGGTATAACGTCTCCCAGAGGCAGCGTATATCGTAGCAGAAGTTTAGATACTGTGATCACAGTAGATGTAAGGATTGGGGTTGTCGCACACACTGAAGTCTGTCTAAGAGACCGTCACATTGAGCTTCCCTAGGTTCTCTTGGTTACGTTGAGGGTTCTCTTTATGTCTCCGCTTTTTGTGAACTATATGTGATTGATCTTGCTGTACACTTTTGGGGAAACTTTAATAAGGGCATGGTCTGAAGACCCAAGAGGGGAGCGGGAAGATGAGAAAAAATTGGCAGTATTATTTACAAAACACTTGTCTAATTGAGCATTTAATATTGTTAGGAAACTCACTATGTTTGTCAAACCCAGAACAGACAAGAATGTGATATCAACCCGATTGACACTAGCTGTACGTTAACAGGTGGCACACAGTCTGGACTCTCAGAGACTCCGGAAAAATACATTTAATGACGTCATAAATACCGTTGTATCAATATTTTCAGGACCCGACAGTAGTCATATTCACAAAGTCTCAAGTAAAAATCTCAGTTTTACTATTACCGATACAATCAACACGCAAAAACTACAGATAGTCACTATAGATTGATATATAGCTTGAACCCAGTGTTGGAAGAAATGATAGTTTGACTTGGATCTTTTAGAATGACTATTTCGGAGTCTGTTCAAATTACTGATGCATTGGTACACTTATTTACTTTGCTATATACTGGTCAGCGTGTCAACTGTTTTATGTTATACAGAGATAACCGTTTGCCAAAATCTTCATTGCTAAATGGTCATCTGACCAACATCAAACTAAACTTGTTGTTGTTTTAAACTGGTGAATAATATCCAAAATAGTTTCTCAACCAATAAAACTATCCACTTTCTCATCTATATTGTTTACGTGTATGATCACTGTTTTCTTTTCATTTTGGCCATTTCTCATATTCTTGATGACAGAATTTGGACCAGGCATTTTTCCTACCTCTGACCGTAGCAGGGATAGCAGACCATCGCCAACAGTATACACAAACTGTGGCTGCTCTGGAAGACTTGACACGCAAAACGTTTTTGGAATTCCAAACACAAATTGACCCAGTATGTGCCAGTTTTTCCCCCATATTCATTGTGTTTGACTACTCCTCTGTTTTCTCCGTTTGCTATCCGGTTTCAGTCGCAAACAATGACGCTCATGCATCGTCTCAATTTCTTTGCAACTTTAGTCTACCAAAATTCTCCAGTTTCTCTTCGACTCTACTTTCCTATCTTTCTCCTACTCTTTCATCCAAATGGGTAGCGCAACCAAAACCGGTGCACGAAAGTGCACGAATAATCGTTGTATGAACTGAACTGAACTGGTTTCGGTTGCGCATCTGCAACAAGATTAATTGATGATTTAATTCACTCTTCCTCATTTACTTTTAATGATTTGAAAATATGATATTCAGGTTTTAGGTAAAATATTTGAAATTTTGGTTGTGCTATTGCTATCTGAGAGACATCGAAAGCTCACGAATGAAGTATCAAGAATAAATTTGCGATTGGTTCTTCTTGTCGTTCTTTTTGATATTTAAAGGACCACATCTCAGATCTGATCTGGTCACTGTCTCTCTGATAAATTATGCATAATTCCATGACAAATAATCAAAATGAGCTGAGTGAACCGTATGCGCTGATATGGTTAAACACAGGCGATGCCGAAATTAGTGGGTGAATAAATTGCATACACACGAATTTTTCATAAATTGCTATTAATCAGTAAACATATATGAGGATATGAGCATAACTGTGTAGGATGGAAAATCAGTCCTCGATGCCCTCATTCCTTCTGAGCAATATTCGTTCAAATGTAGCTATTTCCCATCAGGGTTATCTAAAATCGGTGATTTTGGAACACATGTGTATCATAAGAGAATTTCTTGAAAAAAGTTCAGTAAGATCGAGTAATCTCCATATAGACTTCTGCATAAACCGTTGTCTAACTAACAGTTATATTTTGTGCGATCACTAATATTAAGTTTCATTCGCAAAACATCTTTTTCGTCCTTTGTGCTCCTTATTTCATCCAGGATCCTCTGAAAGGTCTCGAATCATCTGTGCTCATTCGTAGTGGTCTACAAAGTGGACTTTTGGAACCGAATCTGAGTGGCAGTGCGCTAAAACTGTTCAATGAATTACATTACTGGGTACGATTGGGATTGGAAGTGCCCCCGAACGCAGCTGAGGCCTTCCGTCGACGTCTGGAATTGCGCTATTTGTTGGAAGTGATCCTGATCGTGGTTCGGGACTATAATCGTATTATGAACTCACTGAATGCGGAAGAACGTGCCCTGTTTCGAGAACGCATTAAAATTTTGGACAAAAAGATTGCACCGGGTCTGAGCAAATTGCATTGGACTGTGAAGGGGTTGGTTGATATGTTTGTTAGTGATTGTCGAATTCAAGCGTCGAAACTGCAAAGTAAAGTGGATGAGTACAAGTCAGCCAATTTGGATATCAAACTGAATTGTGAACAGATTGCACAAACTTTGCTGATCAAACTCGACCCTAATCGGGTATATGAGAACACGGAATTCGATGACTGTCAAGTATGCATCCGGACGGGTGGGGAATGAGAAAGATTGGCAGAAAGAGAATTTTTCAACGTTGCATGAGGGAATAAAGAATGCATTATTAGAGAAAATTGCAGTAAAAGCATTGTAAAAATCTTTCATGTATATAGCTGTACACCACAGATCAGTTCACCAGTAGAGCTCTGTTGGGCGCACATGTAATGATTCACACTTTTTTTAAAGATCTCCCATTGTGTAAAGTAATAAAGTGAAATTGATTGATCGTTCCAAGATGTTGCATGCCGGTCGCCAGAACCGATTCCGGGTAATGCCTTCTCTCTGGACCATGAGTTTAGTCTTAGATACAATGGAAGTAATTTTTGATGTCCATCAGTTGGAAAATAAAAAAGGTAGCTTGTCACGTGATTTCATATTTCCCAAATACGAATTTTTTCATTTACACACTATGATGTGATCCATTCAAAAGCCGACTATGATAGTTCAGTGATGGTCTTGGGCGAAAAGGTCCAATTATTGCTTGCATATAAAATCCCTGGTAGAAGTGAACTAGACGGTTTAGACTGAACAAAATGGAAAACTGCTCAAACGGGCATAGCAACAAATGTTAATGTAAATTTACCGTTAAATTGTTCACACACATTACCGTTCCTGATTGTTTGGTGATTGCAAATTGACATGAAGCGACACATTAATTTTACGGAAAGGAACTCGACTGTTCAGTTTCCGAGACTTCCGTAGAAAAACTAAACTGAGCACGCATACAGCAAAAGCTTCGATGCTTTGACGATTCCCGTTGAATATTTAATAAAACACCGAAATGGTTGCAAAGAGTTTTCACAATTTATACTTAAAGGCAATCGGGACGATCCACTTTGATAGAGGTCTGTTCAACACTGAATACTTCACAATTTTGACTGAGCTTCATTTGTCCGTCTTCTTTTAATTTTACCCAGTCTGCCCACCGAGCTGTGACCAAAACCAAATTGTTGTCCATGCACGAATCAATCGTGGAAAAAATGAAGGAGGTGAAGGAGACATTTGTCTCGGAAAGTGCCGATATCCAAATGTATTGGGGCAGGTAATTATGCGCATAACACTCTGTCCTTGATCGCAATTTATTTTTAATCGCCATGGTTTCAACCATATCGAATGTACACGCTAAGGTGAACTCAGTGAGTTGGTGTTATGACCTCCTGCACAGTACATGCATTGCTAACTATCCTGGAATACAACGAATTTTTAAAACACTCCTGAGATTTTTTTGTGTTATCTTGCCCTGATGACAATAATTGATGACCAACTCATCCTAAGTTTATAAAAAAACACGTGTGACCAACAGACTGTGGGAAGTGATAGGGGCTTTCTTCTCACAATATGTTGTAATCAAACGCAAGACCTGAATGAATGAAGTACCCTGCCACAATAAATCCCTAACAGAAGAATAGCAGGATACAGAGGCATAGGTCTGTACCACGAATAGCTCAGATAGACAAACTCGAGCCCAGGTTTCCGTTTACCTATTTAACGTGCAGGTCTAAAACCATCTGTTGCATGAAATATTACTTTTCCGAATAAAAAAATCTGTCTTTCAGGTCCTATGGTTTTTCTTTATTGGGAAGATTATTTTAGTCTGTGACTTCTCTACCTAAAGCTAGCGTTCATCTCGCCTATAGTCTTAGATCATGAAGATCGGGAGACTGAACATGAACAAACCACTATTTTTTCAATTATACTGCAAAAAGTGAAGATGGACTACAATGACTACACATGAGCATGTTACCCAAGGTGTATCCGCCTTAGTTCGAACCCATTTTGAAAACCTTTAGCTTTGAAGGACACGGTCAGTAATCAATTTGGATACACTAACTGAAGGTTCAATTGAATATTGAGGGACTTTATAAGTATTGATTAGTTTATTATTGAATATCTGGGGTGCATATATATGAGGTTGATTGATTTGCATGGCAAACTTGTCAACTGTCTAGCCACTTTTCACCTTTCATGACTCGTTGAACCAGACGTATATGGGTCAGTACTTAGGTTTCTAAACATGGAGTGATTCAAACCCATAAGAGAACCATTTTCAGCCAATTGTGCCATTATTTACGAATCAATTCAGTCTCTCGGGTTCCCGTGGTTTCTGAACTGTAACCATAAAAATAAAACAATTTGATACATGAAATTTTTAGTTGTCGATGTGATATATGTGCTTCCTCCTGTGTAGTAATAGAATATTTATTGATTTTTACTGTGATCATTGCCGCGTTGGACTAGATACACGGAAAGAATGGATCGTTATTGTGAAGAAGCATTCAGACTGAATGTGAAACTATCACTAAGCGAGCTGCAACGTGCAATCAATGGGGACGGCCGAAACGACCCGAATCCACTTTTTAAAGTCTCTTTGAATTTGGACAATGATGTTCTCGTATTTTTGCCCACTTTACCCCAACTGACCAATGTGGTTGCTTCATTGGGTAACAAATTCACGGAGATTATCTCAGTCATTCCTCGACTTCCTGATTTACTCACTCGTGGAAAATCACAGAAAGTGGTAAGCGGTTTTAAATACTACTGACACCTTTTCGCTTTCACCCTACTCAAAGTAAAATACCGATAGTAACAATCTGGCTAAAAGTCAATCGACGTTTTGGATTTTGTCTGTTTCCCTAGCATGACCATTTGTAGCCAATGTTTCATCACCACCAAGTTTACATCTTCGGTCCATTGAAAATACTACCTCACTGATAAAATTTTGCGATCGAATTTTCCCCTTGTTCAGTGATCGGATAAATGTGAGCAAGCCAAGTCGAGGGATATAAAAAAACATGGAATCATTCAGTAGCTGGTGGACAGATCGCTATTGGAGATCCGAATGACGATATCGTGACCTCTACTCGGATAAATTTTTTTTCTACCTGGTTGAATTTTCGTTGGACATTTTGCATGCCCGTTATGATCCGTTCAGTCCAAATACATGTCAGGATAAACGGTTCGTCTGCACCTTTACTCGAGGGAACTGTGTCAGATGGCAATGAGTGATCACAACTCACTCACTCTCCGGAATCGTTTGTGTTTGTGGTTTGGACAACTGGCCGTTTTGTGTTGATCCTTCGCTGCTAGTGAAATACAGGTCACAATTGTCAGCCATTGTAGGATGAACTTAACGGAAGGTGACAAAGCGCATTTGGTTTGACTCAACCATTCAGGCCTGAGTTCATAGGAAACATGCGAAGAATTTAAACGTCTTATTCCGGGAAAAGTGATCGGCTCATCAGTAAAAAAAAATGCGAAGAGCGTTTTCTTCAAACCAGATCGGTTCAGGGGAGAACAAAGGGAACCAGGATGAAACCAGTGCCCTCGAAGGAGTTGAGGAATAATATGAAAATACCTATATCTTCAAACCTCCGGTTCCCCATTCGCAAATTAGCTCAACAGCTCTCGCATAGTCAGTCGACCAAACAACACGTGTTATCTAGTCTTTCTTTCCGCCCACACAAACTTTTTCCCCATGGTGTTATGATGAAGGAATCAAATTGTTCGAAATGTATGGAATTTGTCCATGGAACTCACTAAATCCACGCGTTAAAATAGAAACACACCACAGATACAATCCCAGTATTGTTGTTTGGTTTGTTATGCATAAAGTGACTTTGCAAGGTTGACATCTCTTGGATGCCACAACTTACCTGCAGTTACTTTCATCACTCGTCTTAAAGTATGTTCAATCATTGGACCCAGAGCAAAGACGGAGGGTTTATTTTCAGCAGGATGGTGCAGCAGCTCATTATCCGGGGACTGTGAGAACTGGGCTTAACAAAACATTTCCACAAAAATAGATCTGCAGAGTTTGACCTGAACCCTAGCTGTCGAGATCCCAGATTTGACCTCGTTAGATTTTTTCCTATTGAGCCGACAGAATTCTGTTGAACACATTCCCTAGCCTCATTCCTTAAACAAACTGAAATAAAATATCACAGTTGCATCGCAAAACATCCCTGTTGAAGAAGCCAGGCAGGTTCACATGAATCTAACAAAACGAATAGACAGATGTGTTGAGAACGAAGGACGGTTCTTTGAACAATTGCTGTAGCCCCTAACGAATGTTCGTTATTTAGTGTTTCCTGGTTATTCGTAACTAAAAAAGGCTGATTATAGATACTTACATTGGTTTACCTGTTAATGTGCATAAAATTACCATGATAAAGATAATAGAATAAAGGGAACCGTTAGGTTTTTGAGTCTGAATGCATAAAACAATCGGTTGCGAAATTTATAACAGACATCGCTGAAGTGATGGTACCATTTATGGTGTGGGGTTCCATTATATGTTGTTGGTTACTTTGGTCCCAATAAGTGTAATTTTTTCTGTCTATTCACCATTAAGTTCGATTTTAGTGACATTTGTTCTTCTCTGAACTGATCTGGGCGTTTTTAGACACAAACAGTTTCACACTATTTCTCAACTAGCCCGTAGTCGCCGGCTTCTTCTTTAAACCAGTAATCGATCCGGTTTGAAGAAAACGCTCCTTGCATATTTTCACAGTTGAACTGATCTAACTTTCGCATTGTCTAGAATAAGACGTTTGAATTCTACACATGTTTCCCGTAAACTCAGACCTGAATTGTTGAGTCAAACTAAATGCGTTTTATCACTGTCCGTTAAGTTCATCCTGCAATGACTGATAATTGTGACCTATATTTCACCAGCAGGGAAGGGTCAACACAAAGCGGCCGGTTTTCCGCACCGCAAAAACACAAACGATTCAGGGAGGTGTGTGAACAGACCTGTGAGTTGTGATCTCCCCTTACCATTTGATACAGTTTTCTCGAATAAAATTACAAATGAACCGCAGCTGAAATTTCTATTCGCTAGTGTCTCCTGGTTCAGTTCAGTTCTGATATATGTGGTCAGAAGTGAGTCACACAGACTAGACGGTTTCTGTTTACCCACTATTGATTTCCCATGTCCTAACTGGATCGCGAAAATCGGTGCAATCACTGATTTTATTTTTGGAAGTGATATTGAGACTTTATTGTAAATGTTGTAATGTTAATAACACAGCAATGTTGCTAAAGGATTGAATTCGCCGACCTTTCGATTACCGTGGGTAACCTTACTCAAGACAGGTTTTACAGTTCACAACAAAACAACACATGGCTCATCGATTTTTCGACACACTCCTAACATCCTTTGGTCCTGATATATTAAAAAGGATATTGATATTTACACGGTGAATGCTTGGATTAGTCCATTCGTTTTTTCACAGGCATCAGGCACTGTTTGAAATCAATTGCTCCCATTTTGCATTGTTTGACCTCAGCCCATAAGTGAGGTGATCGCGACAGACGATGAGATTAACAAAATTCAGGCAAGCATCAAACGAGGAATGCAAGAAATCAGCTCGGCCGTCCAAGAACCGCTCAGTTATTGGGATCAATTCAGAGAAATTTGGGAACTACCGAAGGATGATTTCATTCAACGGTATCGTCAGCTCAATCCACACGTCTCATCTATTGATGCTGACATAGCTCGGTACGTTCGAATCACATAACCATTTACCATATTCCCGTCATTGTTTGTACGCCAAAAACCCATTACAAAGTATGAATCAAATAATGACTATAGACAATCTCTTTCGACCGAAGTAAGAATGTTGAATGAATGGACGACCGAGACCTTGACAGTTAGAACAGACAAGGATGCGAACCAGAAGATGACCAACACCACCCAGTAGTTTAAAAATTACTGTATATCATCTACAATGTATATCCAGTATCCGGGAATTCACAAATAAAGGTGTAGATCTTTTTCAACATATTAGCCCATGTTTTTGAAAAAAGAGTAGATAATCATTAAAGAAAACATTTCACGTGTTTCAAGTCCACTAAGCAGACGAAACCGAAGTCCTCCAACATCCATTTAGTGGTGACTGAGTGTATTTTATTTGATTGGAAACACTGGTTGCACCGAAATGATCCTTTAGAAGGAAACTCTGCTGTCACAGTGCAACCAGTCTAGTTCATGATTGTAACGCTTTGAATGTTCATGTAAGAATTGTTCGTTGACTGGTTATTTAGGGAACAGGAAAATTAGTCGTTTGCACACTCTCGAAACTTTGATTTCTGAGGAATTTTCCTGTATCTCTCGGACAGGTACACCGAAGTGACCAACAAAGTACAAGACGCTGAAACCATGGTTACGACGCGATTTTTACAGCTCGATTTCAGTCTGTTGAAGAATGCTATCGCAGCACATTGTCGTGATTGGCAGTTACGATTGACACAGTTGTTGTTGGATATGACAACGGATACTCTGTACGGGATCTACACTTACATTGAAACTGTGCAGGAAAGGTGAGTGATAGACAAATGAATTTCGATTAATATCTGATCTGCAATTAGTGAACCTAGCGTTTCGTACTAGCATGAATAAATAAATGAATTTGAAGTCCGTGCAACCCTGCGCTTCTATCTGACAAATATTTAACAAGTCAAGCACCAAATAAAATAAAAGAATGCAGTTCGGTCCAACTAATACATATATGTATAGTAATCATACAATCATAATGATATATACATACATGCAGTTATGTCTTTGAGTTTTAAAAGCCTGATCTCAACTGGGATTCTCTTCGAAGTTCAAAGTGACCGAAATTCTTGTGTGATTCACCGTGCATTCTCTTTACTGACTGGAATCAACTTTTGAGAAAATCACTGAATTGGTTTGTCAAAATCAAACGTTAGAAAATCACCTGGATAATGTTTGAAACTCACCTTATGCTTATGATGATCTTTTTTATCATGATGTGTCAGACGATCAGTCAGTTTTCAGTAACTCTTTGATATTAATGTATTGTATACCAGTTATCAATTACAACATAGTATTGGTTTAAAAATTTCACTTCTTGTTTGAGTTTACCGTTTCCATTTTCATCCGGTGATAGAATCTCACGAACACCACAAAATTTGGATGAACTTAGTGCCTCAATTCAGCTCCTCGAACGCATCCTTATTGAACAACACGAGATCCAAGCCAAATTTGTCCCGCTGGAAGAACAGTTTGCCATACTGGATAAATGCGAAGTCACTTACACCGACGAAGTGGCTATGAAACGAGCCAATTTGGCCAACGATTGGATGCAATTCCAGAGTGCACTGATGGCTGCAGAACAGGTGACAGCATTCATTAGTGGCTTTTCTAAAGTGCCTGCATAATTATATACATGTGTATAATCTAATATAATAAAATATAGTATGATATGTAATACCGTCCTCATCTCCGGATCCAATATGTAGACGACACCTTTGCGGTGCTACCAGCAGTAAGAAAAAGTAAAAACATGATGAACTAAATAAGATTATGTCAGGGACAGCTTTCGCCTACAAGGAGGAAAACAATATGAGACTCCCTTTCTTGGACATCTTCATCATACAAAAAACAAACGGAAACGCAGAAGCCACTTTGTACAGAGAATCGACAACAAAAGATCAGGTGCTGAATAAGGACAGCAATCATCCCACGCGCCACATGAGTAGCTCTGTGCACACTTTGTTCCGCCTTGCGGACGCATTACAGCGCAGAGGAACTCTGACATCAAGAATTAATGCATCTGTTCCATCAATTCCGTACAAATGAATACTCCAACAGTTTCGTATAATTATGCCTTGGGGGAAAAAGAAAACCAAAAGATGAGGAGAAGAAAACGAAACCTCCACTACCGTACAAACGCGGGGTATTAGAAGCAGTCGATCACGTCTTTCACCCTGAGTGTTACCCTTACCCGAAAACTTACATTCAATTTTGCTCAAAGACAAGGACCACGTAGGGTCACACAATCAATCAGGCTTACACAATTCTGTGCCAAGGCTGTCACCTACGTTACGTAGGTGAGACAAGGCAAACAACTGTGTACTCGCCTACACGAACACGCACTAAAACGCACTTACCTGAAGTCATTCCTTCGGAACCATTGCGCAACAACGGACCACGAGGTCAGAATCAATGACGCAAAAGTAGTGGCAAGGGCGAAGAGGAACGGGGGACGTCTGATCCTTGAAGCGCTTCAATTGACTGACTCATTCAATCGACGAATCGAAAACGATCAACATAAAACTACCATTGTGCAACCAATGAGGAACGTGGGATTGGTGGACAAACAGGTGTGACACAAACCACAACACGAGAAACAAGCTGGCCCGATTCATTCACACACATTATCGAGTCGTGACAACAAATGCTATCACTTAGCGCTCGCTTTCTAATTCTCAAAATATGGAACCTGAGCTGCATTTATTCTCACTTGTGAATCAAAAGTTTGGACGCAATGGGCTCAACTATGCGATGACATGGGAGTTTGCTATAACCGCTCTGGCGCTATGAGCGAACAATTGTTCATCTTTCATCAATGTTTACGTTATAATACCTGTGCGAAAAGCATTAAATGCACCCCCATCCAATGTCATTGTATCGTGCGCGGATGATTGCTAACTTCTATTTCAAGCGATAGCATCGTGAACGCTCGCCGCAGAAAACAAGTCTACGAAGACAAAAGCATCAGGAACGAACGAAGAAAGCTATCCAAACAACAACAGATACTTGCGATTCAAAACTAGGGAAAGACGGAATAATAAATTGGTCTCACCGAACCTGACGAAACATGAAGATGCCAATTTCTCAAAATATCAACCTGCACCGGGAGAAAATTGGGTTTTGCTGAAGAAACTAAAATTCAACTGCGCAAATTCAAAGTTGACAGATTTGATTGTCTTAACTGAAACAATAATTCGACATCGCCCACTGATTGGAGAAAAACAACAACAGTTGAGAACGAAAATCTGCTAGTAACTCACAAGTTTGAGAGACACACAAATTGGGCAAACCTTTGAATGACTTCCGTAAATGCTTCTGTTTGCTTCTGTTTTATTAATTGCAACAATTGCTACTTCAATGTTCGAATTTGGGCAACCGGATAAGCAAGGACCTCAAGGGGTGGGGGTGGGGGTGTAGGGATTTGTCGACTAGATTTATTTTACCACTAAACAAATAAGCTTGCCCGTTGAGGTCATTCTGTTACTCATTTGTATATCCCTCTATTCTCCCTCATCTCACTCCTTTGGTGAGTAACATTTGAAATAATTTCTGACACAGATGATTAAAAAATCCAAAGAAAAATTCAAAACCGGTTTGTTGGCCGATTCAGAGGAGTTCAAACGTTCTGTGGCTAATCTGTTGCTGGAACTGCAAACCACTGGGCCTTATGCCGCTGATCTGGTCCCACAAACTGCTCTGGACACTGTGGCACGGTTCCGAGACGAGGTGACCAAGTTGAAATCTCGCGAAATGGAGCTTCGACATGGTTTGAATCTTTTTAAGATTGAGCAACCTCCTTGCAAAGAGATTGCCATAATTGATAAGGTAAGCTAATAGTGAGTCGAATGAAGTCTTGTGTGATTTCACTCTTCCGTATAGTGCAATAAAAGACAAGAAGTAACATTTATTGTCACATTTGAATGTAATAAGGTGGGTAAGGCGTAGAAATCTCAGTGAGTTCTTTTCCATGAGAGATAATCGCTTGACCGCATATCTCAGACGAAAGCCCACAACATAAGAGTTGTCGTTTTATTCTATTAGTATTTATCTTTGTATTTGGCACAGTTTCTTGCAGAGCATTACGAAATAAATCAAATAAAAATCGAGGATGATGCAAGAGAGGCAATGCACAAATTGTGCACCGAAACTAAGACCGAAGTCATGTGAGACAAAATTCCTGCAGAGGTTAATTCACCAGAGAATACTTTGAATGCTGAGAACCATGATGAAAGAGATTACAGTGCATGAAATGGGAAATATCGGCAAGAATTCTATGGGGTAGGAGAGATTGAATAGGCAAAACTCTGCATGCCATCTCGCAGTATTGCACAGAACACTGGAAGGGCTTGAAAGTACAGGTATTTTATTCCTGTTAGGATTCATCAATAGTGCATGTTCAAAAAGCTTTTAACGGCCACAGCTCGGACGTGCTCGGTAGTGAGTCGCACACGCTACCATGAGGCCATTCAGACTGTAATCTATTATTGTGGAAGTTTGCTTTTGATATAAGCTAGTATTGTGAAGTGTTTCCGTTGATGAGTCAAAGAAACACAATCTTATCACTGTGAAAGAATGAAAATTTTGGATAGCAACCCAATTCTTGAAACAGGCCTATCCTCGTACGAGGATAGCGGTATCGATTTATTTCCAGGTGGGAGACTGTCTGATCCAGAGTATGCAGACTACATTGTGCTACTAAGTGAAGATCCAGATAAGTCGCGAGCTTTTCTGGATAGTTTGAGTGCTAGTGTAGCCACGTTCGGTATGCGTTTTGCACCTTGAAAGTGTAAAGTGTTACTACAAGA